TTCGCGAAAATTATGAGCTTAACAAGGAGGCTTTTAAAGCAGCTCAGAAGCGTTACTATCTAAAGAATAGAGAGCAGCGTCTAACTAATCAAAAGGAGTATAATGAGTTGCACAAGGAGGAGCTAGCGCAACGCAGAAAAATCAGAAACCAAAACAAGAAACTAAAATCGAAACTTCCCACGAGAATTGAGGTTTCGACGAAGTAGAGAGTGAAAATGACAAAGAAGTGTAAAATTATATATTAATATTTTTTATTTTTTATAAATATAAAAGACCCATCCTGAGAGATAAAATCTTATAAAATATAGTAGAGCGGATATACAACGACGATGTTTGGATATGAATTAGAAGGACTTAAGCGACTTGGGGTTACATGTACCAAGTGGGGTAGTAGTTTCCGTGTTAAGGTGCTTGGACGCACCAAGAAAATGGTTTACATCAGCAATGTTGGTAACCCGAAAAATAGAGAATTGATTGCTAAGCAGTACAAACTATCTATGAAGAAACTAAACACTCATCTGTCACCTAACTACAAGGGGGACCCTTACTACCGGTTTTATCAAGGTAAACTTAAGGAATCGCATCTATATGAGAATATTTCTCCATCAGAATTGTATGATAAGCTAGAGACTATTCTCAGCTCTCAGTTGAAGGCGTTCAAGATCAATATCGCTCTTGGATACGAGTTGGAGAGTCTCAGTGACGGTCAGAAACTATACTGGCATCCTAGTCTATCGAGCACCAACGTCTTCGACAAGCCTATCACGGTTAACAGTAAATCTGACATTCGCAAGAAAGTCATTCCTGAAATCAGAACGATGGAGCGTGCTGATAGGTTAAAATACCCAAAATCTGGCTACAAATTAAAGGCTATCACAGGATTCAGAGTATACAATTATAAGCGTAACTATACGCTAGGTGATAGCGCCGCTGTTATTCCGAAGGAGTTCCGCGATAGTATACATATTATCAATTTCCCCAAGACGAATAATAAATGTGTCTTCCACTGTATTGCTTACCACGGACTAGGAATTGCAAAACAAAATCCTAGAACGATTCAAGTGCATGTGAAAGCTGCTTTCAAGAAGTATTGCGAGTTTAAAAACATTGAATACAGTCTCAGCCTGTTTCGTAGTTTTAAACCGATTGATATCTTCCACTTTGACGAGCTTGAGGAGTGTTTCAAGCTTGCTATCAATGTATACAGCAAGGATGTATCCAGCGGTGAAGTTAAATGCGAGCGCGAATCAGAGAAGGCGTACAACGTTCTAAACATCCTATCACACAGCAACCGCGCGTTGTACATCAATAATATGGATAAGTTCATGAGTAAATATTTATGCTCAAAATGTGAAATGATTTTTGCGACCTCTACGAAGCTGAACGACCATCAAAAGAATCAATGTGATAAAACAAATATTATGTCATTTGCTAAGCAACCAACGATCTACCAGCCTGGCAAAAACTGTGCATTTCAAATGATGCAGAAATATAAAGTTCACGACGCTACTCCTTATAACGACCATTTCATCGTATATGACTTTGAATCTATCTTGAAGCCAACTAACATTCAGTCAGGAGAGAATACTG